TCATGAGTAAGAGGGCACCTCCCCTGGCCTGGGCACCGTGTGGGGCCTCCTGCCGGCTCAGAGGCAGCAACGGCCGGGGAGAGGGTCCCTCTGTCTGTCGCCTGTTTCTAACGACTTCCAGCTGGCAATCCCCTTGGATGGGTGCCCCCCCATTCCCAGCGCCTTGTATGTTTCTGCCCACGTGGCTTAGGAATTCTGGGGCCCAGGAGCCAGGCTGGACCCCCCCCTGTGACATGGACCAAGTGGACCTGCTACCTGGCTCCAGTGTCTAGCTCCCTGGGGACTCTCCCCCAGGCACAGAACTGGCCACTCTACGGGAAAGGGAGACAACGCAGCCAACCCCAGGCCAACAATCCATCCCCACTGGTGGGATCTCCCTCCTGGTGCTAGGAGACAGGCAAGGTGAGTGGAGAGGGTCTTCCTGCCCCTTCACTACCCTGACCTTTGACCCCACCCCAGCCCAAGCAGCCATCCACCCCTGCCCCATCCTCGCAGGAGTGCAGTCCTGGACCAAGGGCAGAGTGACTGTCATGCAAGGCTCAGTCTGTCCCCAGGACACATCCTGAGCCAGCTCCCAGGGCACCCCTCCCCCACCCCCCAACACACAGAGCAGACACATCATGGATTCCAAAGTCGGCATAGCCTCAGGCGGTGGGGAAACCAAGAGATGGTTTACAAAACTTCACTGCACGGGGCAAGCTGCACAAGCCCCAAAGGAAGCCACTCTTCCTGCATCCCAGTCTGCCACCAAGGGCCCAGGCTGAGCTGCGCTGCGGGCCGGCCACTTCCGGGCTCTCTGGGTGCCCTGCTGAGGGTGTGTCTGCAGTGCCCGTCCCACGCTGAGAGCCCCACGTGTCAGGGAGAAGGCGTTAGACGTCCCGGAAAGGAGAGTGTGGGCCACGTGTCCCCCAGGGGCCAGGGAGGGTTTTTGATACCCAAATCACCTCCCAACAGCCCACTGCACCTCAACAGCTAGGAGCTGCATGCCTTGTGTGGGGCACAGTCCACATGACGTCACCTTTCTCAGTCAACCTTTTTTTTTTTTTTCCAAACTTACTAATTCATCTGAAAGGCAGAGAGAGACAGAGCTCTCCCATTCACTGGTTCACTCTGCCAACATTCGCATCTGCTGAGGCTGGGTCAAGCCAACACCAGGAGCTAGATCTGCAAGCTGGGGACTTAAATCCAAGCTGCCTCCCAGGGTCCACGTTAGCAGGAAGCCAGAATAGGGAGCAGAGCTGGGACTCTAACCTAAGCACTGGGACATGGGAGAGGGACATCCGAAATGGTGTCTGAACCGCTAAGCCACATGCGTGCTGCCAACTGCATTCGGTGTACAGCTCTGGGCGTTGAGGGCATGCACGCTGTTTCCAGAACGTTGTCAGAGTCGGGGACTCTGGAGCCCAGCGCAAAAGCTGTCTCATCCAACAGTTCTTGATTGAAAATGTGCCATGGGGAACATAGACGTGTAGGGACAGGCAGAGCCAGGGAGCCTCCACCAAGAACAAGCTGGTGGGGACCTGGGGGAGAGAGGGCAGGGTGGAGGGGAGCAGAGAGCAGGCCGCCCACCGGAGGGGCAGGGCGGCCCGGGAGGGCAGAGGCCACAGGGACGTCGGAAAAAGCATCTGCAGGGCTTTCAAAGGGAATGTTTTTCCTGTGGTCAGGCCGGGCCTGATGAACAGTACATGTGGTCCCTGGTCAGCAGGGGCCCCGGCAGGGCAGGGGGACCCAGGGCTTTCCAAACCACAGAGCTGAGACAGAGGTATGTGAGGCATGCGTGGCTCTCATCCTTGCTCCTCGGACCCCCTGGACAGACTTCAGATGAATTACAAGACTGCCCACAAGCACTGTGGCGGGAAGCTTGTTTTTCTTATTTCAAAAGAAAAGCAGATTTGCTGACAGATTAGGGAGCAGGGGCTGGGGTGAAGGGGAGGTCACCCAGGAGCTCAGAGCCTGCCCAAGAGGTCTTAAATCACCGGTTAATGAGATGCCGCTAGTCCTGGAGCTGGGGCGAGAGGGAAAAGTTCAGGAGGAACCTCTGGACCGCGCTTGGAAGGGCTGCTGGGCCTGGCTCTCCCCCACTGCGGGGAGCTGGACTGAGCCCTAGGAGCTGGTGGTTCGCTTAATTAATTCCCCAGGAACCACTTCCGGACAAAGACCAGGCATGGGCATCCCCACCGTACACCTGAGGCCCCTGCGGCCTGAGCGGCGATGGTGCGAGGTGACATTCCAAGGAGGGACAGTGAGAACCAGACTCACATTAACCTCTCTCACGCAGGGCAGCGCCCCCTCCCCACCCCTGGCCTGGGCACCTTCTGCTCGTGCCCAGCGCTCACAGCACCGTCTCTGGGGCTACCTGGCTTGCGCAGGTGTAGACGGTTGGTCCAACAGATACAACTGTCCCCATCTCCCAGAGCAGAAACTGAGGCCTGGAGGCACTTGATTTTTCTCCAAGTTGGCACCAAAGATATGTATCCCTGTGTATGTGCACGAGTCAAGGGATCAGCCACCATGGCCTTGAACTCTGACTGCTGGATGACCTTGGGTGCGCCGCTTGACCTCTCTGTGTCCGGCTCTTCTCATTTGTATAGTAGTGATACTAAGCGTGTCACAGTCTTAGGGTTGTCGTGCATAATAAATAGAGTGACCTGGTTTCTGCTTACTGAAGAGCCTGACATAAAATCAGCGCCGATACGTGTTCATTAGTAGCACCATCACCATCATCACCATCACTGCCGGCACAGGACTGCGAGGGGTCGCATCTGAGCCGGCTGGGCGCTGCTCACCTTGGAGGTTTGAGGGCGGTGGCCGTGGGAGAGACGGGACGTGCCACCGTCACACTCGGCCTCAAGGGGAGCCTACACAGGGGATATGGCTGAACTCACAAAGAAAGCACCAACTCCCCTGACCAACTGGCAGGGAAACAAAACACAAGGGCAGGCCAGCACTGTCGCACAGCGAGCTGCGTTGCCACCCCTAACACAGGCCTCCTATAACAGCTTGCTGGTTCAAATCCCAGAGGCTCCACTTCCCAGCCAGCTCCCTGCTAATGTGCCTGGGAAAGCAGCAGAGGATGGCCCAAGTGCTTGGGCCCCTGCACCCACATGGGAGACCCAGATGGCGTTCCAGGCTTCTGGCTTCAGCCGGGCCCAGCCCTGGCCATTGTGGCCAGTTGGGGAGTGAACCAGGAATCAGTGGATGGATGTTCTCTTCTCTCTCTTCTCTGTGTGTGTGTCAGTCTCCCCTTCAAAGAAATAAATCTATTTTTAAAAAAGAAAGGAAAATAAAACCAGGACATGAGTTGAATCAACCCTCTTCTCACTTCAGAAAGCCTGGTTTCGGCCTCAGACTGGATGGCAGGACAGGGGGCTGGTTTGCTGCTGGTTCTTCAAGTTCATGACCTGAGCCTTCAGGGCATGCAGTGTTCAGTTCAGTGCCAATGGGCTCTCCAGGGCTCCTGCTCGGTGGGGCACAGGGTGGGGCACAAGGAATGCCTTTTGTGCAGCCCCCACCACCACCTGGGGGTGTCTGGTCCTGGCTCAGCCTCTGCCATCCTGAGGCAGCTTAGAGGGGTCTCCCAGCAGCCTCACGGGGGTCCCCCACATGTTTGCTCTGGACAGGAGCGTTCATCCTGGGTAAATACGGTGGCCCTCAAGGAGGAATCTTTCACCATTTCTCTCTCAGAAGGAAATGGTGGGAGAAGAGGGAGGGGAACTACCCAGGGAACCAGGACAAATAGCCCCAACCTTCCTGGGACCACCGACCCGTTGTCCGCCCAGGCCCTACGCTTCTGCGCCCCTTTCCAGGGCTCTCAGCTCCAGGTCCCATTGTACCCCCCCCCCCCCCAGCTGTCAGCAAGTCTCAGTTCCAGCCCCACATGAACTCCAGCGTCTGCCTGCCTTCCCCAGAAGTCCCGGAGGCCGGCCTGGAAGTGGTGCGAGGCAGACACGAGGCAGGCGGGCAGGGGAGGCACCCTCCGTCCTGCTGGGGTTTGCAAAGCTGGCTCAGCATCCATAGTGAGCATGGTGCAGGTGCTCCGGTCCCTCCTCCAGCCAGGGTCTCGGTCCCAGCACAGGCGGCAGCAGACATCCCTGTGAACCTGTCCCCAGGTCCCCAGGAACCCCCAGAGGACTCAAGACGGGCCCTTCCTCCCGCGACTGCCCCTCACCAGGGGCAGCTGATCCACATCTGCAGTCTCCAGGATTCTGCTGGGGGCTGTGGGCAGGGGCAAGGAACCACCTGGGCCACCCCCAGTGGCCAGGGGGCAGAGGCTGGACCTGGCTGGGGATGGCATTGGGGGCTGGGAATGTGGACCCTTTGATTCCCAGAAATCCCACTGCCTGGGCCCAGAGGTCTCATCCCAGGACAGAGACACACCCCTCCCGACCCCCACCTCTGGGTGTGTGACCCCCTCCAGACGCAAGCCCACCCCCACAGGGTGCCCAGTGTCCTGAGAAGGGTCAGCCTACAGGGAAGCCTGCGTGTTAGCTCCTGGGGCCGAGTGGGGCTAAGGCGACCGGCCAAGGGCACCTGGACAGACATCTGCCAGGCTCTGCCCTGGCTCTCACAGAGGCCAGGGTGCCGGCAGCTGCTGTTGCTGCCCAGTGTCCACCCTCGGCATTGCCTTGGAGCCCTCCTGTCCATGCAAACACCTCAAGCCCACTTCTCTCTCGCTCTCCATCAGGCAAGGGAGAGGGGCCTCCCTCATCCCCTTCCAGGCCAGGATCAGCCCCAGGGTTCCCACTGAGATAGATGCAGAGGCTCAGACCCCCCTGCACCAGGCCTTCCCCAGGCTCACCCAGTGGCTGGGCAGCCCCCGCCCGGTGCTGAGTCAGGGCAGGGCTCGGCCCCAGGGGAGCTGCTGGTTGGCCGCCCGGGTCCTCACTCACCCTCTCCGCTCCCAGGTCCCGCCCCCCCCGCCCCCCCCAGTCCCCAGTCCCCAGTCCCCGGCCCCTCCAAGGCCGCCGGGGGCCGAGAAAGCACTCGGAGGCCGGCTCGCGTCCGCTTCGAGGACTTTTATTGCCCAAGGTCCTGAGGCCCAGGCTGGGCTGCGAGGGGCTAGAAGAAGTTGACCACCCTGCGGAGCGACTGCACGCGGGCGCTGTGGGCCTCCCAGTCGGAGAAGCCGCGGAAGTCGCCCCTCTCCACCACGTACATGCGGCCACGGTAGTTGGGCTCCTCATACAGGACCCACCTAGGGGGGCAGCGGAAGGGCGGGTCAGGCGGTCGCCAGGACGCCGCCCCGGGACCACCACCCCCCACCCCCGCCTCCTGATCCTGCTGGCTCCGGGCGAGGGGGATGGGAGGTGCCCCGTAACTGCTGACGGTTTTAATTTAAAACTCACCAGTTGGTGGCAGGGACCAGCTGTGATTCCTGGATATGCTTCTACCCCCCAAGGAGGGGCTGGGACAGCTGGGAAATACCCCCAGGTCTCCTAAAGGGAGGAGCAGGGGACCCCCCCTGCTGGGACTGTTCCAGGGAGGCAGAGAGGGGAAGGAGGGGCGTGGCCTGCCTACACCTGCAAGAGGACTCTGCCTTCGTAGGGGGCCTCTGTGAGTGTCACCGTCCTGGCGCGGGGACCCAGCCCTGGCCCCATGGCCCTGTCAGGCAGCTTCTCCTTGCTGAGAGCTTGCATTGTTCAGAGTTCAAGCCCCAGGCCACGCTCCGCCCCAGACGTGGTGCCCCCAGCAACAGCCTCTGATTCATTTCCTGACCACTGAGCCTCATCCGCCCACAGGGCAAGCACAGGTTAAAGGAGATCACGTGCCTCCACAGTCAAAAGTGTTAGTTCAGGGACAGGTGTTTGGCCTAGCAGCTAAGCCCCTACTACCATGTCTGAGCGCCTGAGTTAGGTACTCAGCGCCCCTCGGACTGCGGCTTCCTGCTAATGTAGGCTCCTGGGAGGCAGCAGGTGATGCTGACCCCGGGGTGGGAGACCTGGATGGAGTTCCTGGCTCCCAACTTCAGCCTGGCGCAGTCCTGGCTAATGCAGGCATTTGAGGAGTGATTCTCTCTCTCTCTCTCTCTCTCTCTCTCTCTCTCTCTCTCTCTCTCTCTCTCACACACACACACACACACACACACACACCATACCTGTCTCTGTCTCTCTCTGAAAGAAATACTTAAGAGCCAGTGTTGTGGTGCAGCAGGTTAAGCCACCATTTACAATGCTGTCATCCCATAACACAGCACCAGTTTGAATCCCAGCTGCTCTGTTTTCAATCCAGCTCCCTGCTAATGGCCTGGGAAAGCAGTGGAAGATGGCCCAAGTCCTTGGGCCCCTGCCACACACATAGGAGAATTTGGAGAATGAACCAGTAGATGGAAGATCTCTCTCGCTCCCTCTCCCTCTCTCTTCCCCTCTCCCACCTCTCCATATTTCTCTGCTGTTAACTAACTAAATAAAATCTTTATAAATACATAAATACAGCAGTAGTGCCTACCTTCCCCACCTCTGACTTAACAAGCCCCCGAATTTTCTGAAGTGTCAAGAGGGGAGCTGTGTTTTGGGTCCCAGTCATCTTCCATGCCATGTTACGACTTTTACCTCATGAAACACAACTGAGTCAGCAAAATTTCCAGGTCAGATGTTGTTCTCCCTCTGGGGCCCCTCCCCTCTCCCCTCTCCCCCTCCCCCCTCCCCCCTCCCCACCCATTGCCACGAACTCCGCACAGACCTGAAATTTTGCAAAGGTAGAGAAGGAGCAGAAGAAAGACTGGCACAAGACAGACTCCTGGAGAAAGCCAGGGAACACAGGCGCACGGGAAGGGAGCCCAGCAGGTGGGGGCCAGGCGGAAGGGCGGGCAGCACAGCTCTGCTCAGCTCAGCCCTGGTCTTCCTCGGCCGCTCCCATGACCACCCCCTTGCACCCCTCCTGAAATTCCCTGATCTTGAACCTCAGCAATACCGAAGCGCACGGCTCCCTTAGCTGCTCTGACAGGAGCCAGGACAGGTTCAGGACAGATGGTGTGTGTGGGCGGGGGCAGAGCTCACGTGGGGTGGGGCTGGAGGGCTCTTCTCTGGAGGGGAGGGAGAGGGCTAAGGTCTGGGAAGACACCCAACCCTAGAACAGTACAGACTTGACCAGGCTGTGCCATTCCCACGCTGGCTGAGTCTCAGCTTGCTCCTCCATGAAATGGGGCCGTGGAACCCTGGCCGGAAGGTTGGGCCAATGGGAAGAGATGGCCAGCTTGCCAGTGCTCTCGGGGTAAAGAGTGCAGGCCGCCTTTGGCTGAGCAGAAGGAAACCCCTGTGTGCAGGGCCACCAGCAAAGCACAGGCAAGCACAGGGACCATCAGCTGTATAGAAGCAGGAAGCAGCCCCTCTGGACTTGGGTCAAGTCCATCAAGAGGCAGACAACCTGAAGCCCACCAGCCCAGAGAGGCCCGTGTGGTGGACATATGCCTGCTCAGCAGAGGGGTCTGGTGCAGGGGTCAGAGGTCAGCCTTGCAGGCTAGGAGGTGGCCAGGGTGGGCAGGTGCACCCCACTGAGAGCAGGGCGATTCCACCACGAGCTTTTTTTTTTTTAATCTGGAAGGCCCTGGTTGGGGGCAGGGGGCGGGAGTCTCTTGATTAAGAAAAACCAAAGATGATCTATGCTCCCGGTCCATCTCAGAGACAAGCCCTCCTCCCTCTAATCCAGCAGTGTTCCTGGGGTGCTCCCTGAACCCTTTCCTGGCCATGAGAGAGAGGCTGCCCACCTGTTCCAATGAGATTGGAGGGGCAGCTGAGGGAGGGGCAGGGCCTTCGAGGTGGGGGGTGCCCTGCTCATCTGCTGCAGGGGGCAGGTGGCTACGAAGGGCCCGGCTGGGCTGGGCTGGGCAGCCCCGGCCGCTACTCACGCTCCATCCCCGTACACCTTGATGGCGTTGACACAACTCTTGGTCCAGCCCCGGCTCTGGAGGAAGGGGCAGTCGTCCACGAACTCCAGGCACTGGCCCGTGAAGTTGCAGCCCTCGAAGATTTCCAGGCGGAAGTGTTCCCCATGCTCCAGACCCGAGATGGTGCAGGGGAGAATGGGAGGAAACGCTCTGAGCCTGCCCTCCCCACACACAGAAGGCCACTACGGGAAGGCGCTCTGGGCTCCCCGGGGTTCCTGGGCTGGACTGGCTGGGGGGCAGGTGAGGGCCCACCTTCCCACCCAAACCCATCTATTCCTTTTTTTTTTTTTTTTTTTTTTTGACAGGCAGAGTGGACAGTGTGAGAGAGAGAGAGAGAGAGAGAGAAAGGTCTTCCTTTGCCGTTGGTTCACCCTCCAATGGCCGCCGCGGCTGGTGCGCTGAGGCCGGCACACCGCGCTGATCCGAAGGCAGGAGCCAGGTACTTCTCCTGGTCTCCCATGGGGTGCAGGGCCCAAGCAGTTGGGCCATCCTCCACTGCACTCCCTGGCCACAGCAGAGAGCTGGCCCAGAAGAGGGGCAACCAGGACAGAATCCAGCGCCCCGACTGGGACTAGAACCCGGTGTGCCGGCGCCACAAGGCGGAGGATTAGCCTGTTGAGCCACGGCGCCAGCCATCTATTCCTTTTCTGACTGAGATGCAGCTGGATGAAAGAGCGCTGTTCCTTTAAAAAAGTTTCAGAGCCACTGAGCAGCTCAGAAGGCAAGATCCAGAGAGGGCAGTGCTACCAGGAGGCCAGCAGCCACTGGAGCCAGGGCCGAGGTCACTGGCTCCCCGCAGGTGCACCCCAGCCACACCAACACATTCCTTGGTTTGGCTTCTCCCCACTGGCCTATGGGCCAGAGGCAGGCCTTCAGATAATAATATTTGAAAATGGTAAAAGAACCTTTTATAAAAACATGAAGCCTGGGGCCGGTGCGGTGGCGTAGTGGGTAAAGCTGCTGCCTGTGGTGCCAGTATCGCCTATGGGCACCGGTTCGAGTCCCGGCTGCTCCACTTCCCATCCAGCTCTCTGCTGTGGCCTGGGAAAGCAGTGGAGGATGGCCCAAGTCCTTGGGCCCCTACACCCGCATGGGAGACCCAGAGGAAGCTCCAGGCTCCTGGCTTCGAATCAGCCCAGCTCCAGCTGTTGCAGCCAGTTGGGGAGTGAACCAGTGGATGGAAGACCTCGGTCTGCCTCTCCTCTCTGTATAACTCTGAGTTTCAAAAAAAAAAAAAAAAAAAAAGCCCCAGATCTAAAACAAATAACCAATCTCATTAGCTGAAGTCCCGCTGGCCTGCCCAGATCCCACAAGATTCCCCCACGCTTCCAAATAGCACAGGCTAGGGCTGCTCCCCAACAGGCTCCATGCGGGGCCAGGCCCCCCCCGGGGGGGCTGACCTCGAAGACAACTCTCTTCGCAAGGCACCCAGGACGTGGGTCACACAAGTAACAGCTTCCCTTGTCCAAAAGTCCACTGCCCTGTGGGAACACTCGGAAAGGCTTCTTGACAATCCGAGATGCCAAAAACCAGCTGGTTATGCAGTCCCTGTGCGAGAGACGGGGTGGGGGCCCACGCAGACAGGCCCCTTTCCCAGGATCCTCGGGTGTCTGCCGGAGCCTGCAACCCAGGGACAGGTGTGCGCGGGGCTGAGGCGCTCCTCCACAAGAACTGCTCACCCCCAAGCTTGGGCACCAGCCACCTGCCACCAGGAGGTGGCCGACTCGTGGCAGGTCACTTGGCGCTTCTGGCTTGGGGAACCCTCAGTCCTCTAATCCCACCCTAGAGGCAACTGGACATAGAGGGTCCTTCTCCGTGGGGGAGCCACACCCTCTCATCTGTTCTCTCTGTGCCACTCCAAGGGATCCGCCCCCAGCAGCCCTGCTTGCATTGGCTGTTGGAGATCAGAGCCTCCAAGGCTCACAAATGCACCATAAGGTCTCCTGCACCAGGTCTGTCTGCACCAGTCAGTCTGACTTCTGCCGAGGGCGCCCCCGTCCGGTTGCAAATCCAAACTGACGATATTTCCAACCCCCTTTTTTAATGGGACATTTAGCTCGGGTTTTGGGGTCAGAAATTTAAAGTGATTTCCTGATCTGTGCCTGTAAGGGTACATGCATGGAGACTCCCAGCCCCCGATCCCCTCCACCGTCTCCCACCAGCTTGAGGCGATGGGTAGGGTTCTCTCCCAGTCTTAGTGCTCCGGGGTTACTTGTCCTGTGTCCGCCCCAGGCGGCCACCTCAGCCACCCCACCAGGAAGTGCCCAGCCCCCAGGGGGCGTGGCTACTCACCATTCCTACCGGCCGGCAGGAGCCCATGTGGTCATTGTGGCCGTTCCAGCGGAGGAAGTCGGGGTAGTCACCGTGCTCCAGGATGAACTGCTGGCCCCGGAAGTCGGGATGGTCGAAGCAGACCCAGGCCCCGCTCTCCACGCGAATGGAGTTCACCCTGTTCATGAAGCCTCGGTCCTGAAAGTTGTCGCACTCCCCGAAGACTTCCAGCTTCCGCCCCGTGAAGTGCTTGCCCTCGTAGAAAGTGATCTGCAAGGGCCAGGCTGGGGCTCAGGGTCAAGGGCATCTCCCTCTTTCACTTTTGGGGGTGGGGGTCAGGAGCCCAACATCCTTGATGGAACCCTGACCCTGGTGCAGGTGGCCCGGCAGTGGACATGCAGTGGGGGGGGGGGGACGAGGATAACACCCTGGCTGCTGGAGGCACCTGGGCTCTGGACTGCTTTTTTGTGGGAGTCACACGTGAAGGTGTGCCTCTGGCGTCCACAGGTTTGATCAGGGTAGTTGCACAGGGACGCTAGACAAGGTGGCAGGGAGAGACCAGTGCCTGCTACCCCTCCTGCACAGACACAGGTCTGGTCATCCCCCACCCCCGCCCCAGACGTGCCAGGACAGTTCACATCTCAGCGTGGCACAGAGATCCAGACCCAAGTGCCCCTTGAAGAGACCCTGAAAGAAATGCCACTGGGTGACCGGCCCCAAGCAAGGAAGACGCCGCAGCAGCGGGGACAGCAGGGCCCCGCAGCTCTGACCCCATCCTAGCTCCGGAAGACAGTCTCACCCCAGACAGGCCCTCGGCCAACAGCCAGGCTGCCCCACGGTCAGAGCCGATGCATCGATCGATCGATCACGCATGAGGCCCCCTGCCCGGTTTACGTTCGGCCGAGGGCCGTACTCACCTTTCCGGAGCGCTGCGCCATCGTGCGCCGTGCCCAGTCCTCCGTGGACTCCCGTTTATACCGGGCGGCGCCCTGCTGGGTCAGCGCCGCCCCGGACAAAAGATTTGCTTGGCCGGGCACCGTCGTGTTAGTCCTGTCGGGCGTGCTAAGCCCGCGAGGGGCCACTGGGACGGCCGACGGGACCCTGTGTCACCCGCAGCCCCCAAGGCCTCCTCCCTCCCTGAACCTCCTTTCCAGCCCACCCGGCGTCCCCTGCTGAGTCAGGGCCAAAACTCCCGCCACCGCCTGGGGTGGGGAGGGGGTGTCTCACAGCACTCCCCAGTGCAGCCCCTCCCCCTGACCCACCTCCTCCTTCCTCCCCAGGCCTTCCGTGACCTGTACTGGCTGCACATGGCTCCACATGGTCACTGCCTTGGTTCTGTGGACAAGGATGGAGGCCAAGTCCCCCGGGGGTGAGGGAAGGCAGCCTTAACTGCAACTCCCCTCCCCCACAGTCCTGTTCCCGAGTGCCCCGCGCTGGGGGGCCGCTGCCGGGCTCTGCACCCCTGTATCTCTGTGGCCAGGCACACAGACCAGACGGCCCCCAGAGGATGAAGATCTGTTTGCAGGATCATGCAGCCCGGGCGTGGAAGGAGACTTTCCCAGGGCCCTGAAGGACTTGGCACACAGGAGAGGCTCAAATATTGTTTATGGAGGGAGACCGGAGTAAACACTGAGCCCACAATTGCTGGGGAGATGAGCTGTGAACAATGCAACCGGGAATCAGGTGGCTGCGGGCAGAGGGCTGCGGGGAGCCAGGCTCTGAGATCAAAGCAGACGGAAGCCTGCAGGAGGTCCTGGGGGAGGGGGGCAGGAGGGCCAGAGAGGGGGCACTGTGAGGAGCAGTCTCGGTGGCTCCTCTGCTTCCAGGAAAGCAGAGTCTAATTTTTCTCGTTGTGTCCCAGAGGAGGTCATGTGACTCTTGAGGCAGAGGAGTGACCTTGACCCCTGCCCCCCCCCCCCCCGCACTCTGGGAGGGCATCAGAGGCAGACAGGGCCTGGCCTGGAACGGGATGTCACCCTTGCATCCAAAGACAGCCCTGTCTCAGGGGAGCCCACCAGGCCCAGCCATCGCCTCCACATCCACCCTCCCGAACCACGTGTGCCAACCTTTGTGTCTCAGGACACGGCCTGGCCTGGCGGGGACGGATAACAGACAGCAAAATCTCCTGGCAACCCAGAAAACCTCTCCTGGAAGGTGGAGGGAACGCGGACAGCAGGGCTGAGCGCGCAGGCCCAGTCCAGGCGCGGGCTTTGGGACTGCGATGGAGTCAGGTGACAGCTGAGGGAGGCCCTTCTGCCCCTGGGGGAGCTGGGCCGTGGGACACCCGGCCATCGTCCCTCAGTGTGGCATTTCAGAGTGGTCCTGGGCTCCAGGAGGCAGTGAGCCTGAGCTGCCGGGTTGACTGGTGGCTTATTTCCTGTGGAGAGGATTTTTACACATTGGAAAAAGACAGAGAAAACAATTTTGAAAGAAATGGGAGAGAGGGAATGTCTCTTCCCTTACTTCCAGGAGGGGATATTAAGCCTCTTCTTACCATTTTAAAAAAGACAGGCCTTGGGGGCCGGTGCCGCGGCTCACTAGGCTAATCCTCCGCCTAGCGGCGCTGGCACACCGGGTTCTAGTCCCGGTTGGGGCGCCGGATTCTGTCCCGGTTGCCCCTCTTCCAGGCCAGCTCTCTGCTGTGGCCAGGGAGTGCAGTGGAGGATGGCCCAGGTGCTTGGGCCCTGCACCCCATGGGAGACCAGGAAAAGCACCTGGCTCCTGGCTCCTGCCATCGGATCAGCGCGGTGCGCCGGCCGCAGCGGCCATTGGAGGGTGAACCAATGGCAAAGGAAGACCTTTCTCTCTGTCTCTCTCTCTCTCACTGTCCACTCTGCCTGACAAAAAATTTAAAAAAAAAAAAAAAAAAAAGGCCTTGGGAATCGGTGTTTAGCCTAGCAATGCCGACGGCTCTGACCCACATTGGAGTACATGGGCTCAATTCCAGTGCTTGGGTTTGAGTCTTTGCTCTGACTGCTGACTCCAGCGTCTGCCAATGGAGACCCAGTAACTGGGTCCCTGCCGTGCGGATGAGAAACCTGGATTGTGGTCTTGGATTCTGACTCCGGCCCTGCCCGGGCCATTGTAGACATTTGAGGATTGAACCAGCAGATGGGATCTCTCTCTCTCTCTCTCTCTCTCTCTCTGCCTCAAGTTTAAAAACACAGACCATTTTTTTTTAGAGTTTTACACTGACAGTAAAATGGGGTGGTGAGAGTTCCCACAAGTCAGGTTTGGAATTGTTCGGGGTTTTGGCCTTTCATACCCCCAGAAAAGAGACGGAAAAAGGAGCTGGAAACCGACCTCAACAGAGGCAGGTTGCAAAGAGGGGCGACAGCCTGTTCTTATGCGCAGGGCAGGCACAGGGCTGGGTTTTTACCTGGCTGAAGAGGGATTGGCTGCTGGTGGGAGGCAGGAGGCTTGCGGCTGGCGGGGAGTAGGCAGTAGGGGGCTTTCCGAGAAGCCGCTGGGAACTGTTCTCTTACCTGTTTCACAAGCTGCCCCGGGACGCTTACCCTGCTTTGCAGGGTCTGGGGGAGGTTGAGCTTGGTTCCTGCACCAAGGGCCTCCACAAAAGGAGGAAATGGGGCTTTATTGCCCTTTGTCATAGACCCCCTTCTGCGGGACCTTGCATGAGCCTGCCCCGCGGTCAGCATGTGGCCCCCCAGGTGGTCCCTTTGTTACAGTTGATGAACAGGTTCACTCTTAGTGATGTAATTTTGTGGATTTGGACATGTGTATTGAATGAATTCAGCCCAAAATATGCAGCTCTGATTTTTTTAAAGCTTCATTTATTCATTTGAAAAGCAGAGTTACACAGAGAAAAAAGGAGTTACAGAGAAAGGACTGAGAGAGAGAGAGAGAGAGAGAGAGAGAGAGAGAGAGAGAAAGGAGAGAGAGAGAGGGAGAGGAGAGAGAGAAGGAGAGAGAGGTCTTCCATCTGCTGATTCATTCCCCAAATGATCACAATGGCCAGGGCTGAGCTGATCTGAAGCCAGGAGCCAGGAGCTTCCTCCGGGTCTCCGAGGTGGGTGCAGGGGCCCAAGCACTTGGCCCATCTTCTGCTGCTTTCCCAGGCCACAGCAGAGAGCTGGATGGGAAGTGGAGCTGCTGGGACACAAATCTCTGCCCATATGGGATGCCCAAGTTGCAAGCAGCGGCTTAGCCTACTACGCCAGAAAGCCAGCCCTTGCTCTGTTTTGAATTAGAGACATTTAAAAAAAAAAAAGTGTGTGCAAAGATTACTCTGAATTCTGTTTCTAGGATTCAAGGAACTTCTTTAGGGAGTGGTGTAGCCTCTTATCTCAAGGACAGAAATGAAGGCTGAGAAGGTCCTGTACAGATCTAGTTGAAATGATTCTTTTTTAAAGATTTGTGTATTTGAAAGGCAGAGTTAGAGAGAGAGAGAGAAACAGAGAGAGAGGTCTTCCATCCGCTGGTTCACTCCCCAAATGGCCTCAGTGTCTGCAGCTGGGTAGATCTGAAGCCAGGCCAGGAGCCAGGAGCTTCTTCCAGTTCTCTCACATGGGTACAGGGGTCCAAGTGTTGTAGGCAGGCAGATAAGATAAAAGTAATTAGCTCACCAGCGCTATGGTGCAACGGGTTAAGGCCCTGGCCTGAGTACCGGCATCCCACATGGGCACCAGTTCGAGTCCCGGCTGCTCCTCTTCCAATCCAGCTCTCTGCTGTGGCCTGGAAAAGCAGTAGAAGATGGCCCAAGTCCTTGGGCCCCTGCACCCGTGTGGGAGACTTGGAAGAGACTCCTGGCTCCTGGCTTCGGATCAGCGCAGCTCCAGCTGTTGCGGCCATTTGGGGAGTGAACCAGCGGATGGAAGACCTCTTTTTGTCTGTCTCTACCTCTCTCTCTGTAACTCTGTCTTTCAAATAAATAAAATAAATCTTTTTTTTTAAGTGATTAGCTCTGCGAGCCGGAAAACCACACTCCCTGTGTGATCTCATGCCCCTACCTGACCACACCTGTGTACCCACCTGCCAATCAGGCTGTAGAATCACTCCCCTTTGGAAGTGAATAAAAGGCATGAAACAGGGTGGGCCTGGCCCTTTTGCCCTTTTTTGCCACTATGGACCTTTGTCCCCCCCCCCCCACCACCACCCGAGCGCCTTCGGGCACATGGCCTGCGGGCTGCCTGCACTGCCTGCCTTCGCTTGGCTGCCTGTGATAAGTTGCCGGTAGTAGCTGCTCTTAACCGAAGGCTTTGCTGAGTGTGGCTTTTGGCCTGCTCTCTGCTCGGTATGGATCTAGACTTCCCTTCCCTCCCTTTCTCTCTTAGACAGAGCCCTCACTCGCCTATGCATTTCTCTCACTGAATACAAAGCTTAAAAATGTAGTCTATGGCCGGCGCCGCGGCTCACTAGGCTAATCCTCCGCCTTGTGGCGCCGGCACACCGGGTTCTAGTCCCGGTCGGGGTGCCGGATTCTGTCCCGGTTGCCCCTCTTCCAGGCCAGCTCTCTGCTGTGGCCAGGGAGTGCAGTGGAGGATGGCCCAAGTGCTTGGGCCCTGCACCCCATGGGAGACCAGGAGAAGCACCTGGCTCCTGCCATCAGATCAGCGCGGTGCGCCGGCCGCAGCGCGCTGGCCGTGGCGGCCATTAGAGGGTGAACCAACGGCAAAGGAAGACCTTTCTCTCTGTCTCTCTCTCTCTCACTGTCCACTCTGCCTGTCAAAAAAAATGTAGTCTATTTGAGCCAGCAAGAACCCACAAGGCTTATTAATAAGCAAATCGGTATCACAAGGACTTGGGCCATCTTCCACTGCTTTCCCAGGCACATTAGCAGGGAGCTAGATTGGAAGTGGAGCAGCCAGGACTCAAACCAGCATCCCTGTGGGATGCCGGCACTACAGATGACAGCTTAATCCGCTATGCCACTGCGCCGGCCCTGACACAACTCCTATCTTTTAAGCCTCCCACATAAGCCAGCTGCTTTTCCACAACGTCCTGCTCTTTGCTCAATTCAGTTCATGAGGGTATAGTGGCCTCTTTGAGGCTTCTGTTTCCTAGGAAGTTTCCTCTGCCAAATAAAACTCATAGATGACATAGATTGGTATGATTTCTTCCCACTGCTCTGTCTTACGCCAGCTTCTACTCAGGCAGGGGCTCTAAGAGGGTAGAGGTGGGGTCTGTTGCCCCTACACGATGGCGACACATATCCCACCCACACCCCGCTACAACTTCACACAGTACTGCACGGCCTCCACCTGCTGTTCCGTCCCTCTCCTAACCCCTGGTCACTTCACTGCCTCCCTATTTTGCCTTTTCCAGAGTATCCTATAGTGGTAATAGTATATGCTATATATAGTAGTATAGTATAGTATAGTACAGTACATAGCCTTTTCAGGTTGATTTTGTTCACTTAGATGTATACATATAAGATACATATCTTAGGCTGTCACGTGAAACACCTGCAGCACATATTGGAATGCCTGGATTTGAGTCTCACCTCCACTTTTTTTT